TCCACTCCTGGTCGATGCCAGAGTCTCAAAAAACTGGCCTCTCATTTCCTGAAATCCCTCCCGACATCTTCTGTGCTGTTGTGTTTGTTTATTGATCTTTCTGAACCCTACACATATGAAGTGTTCAACCACAGAAAACCTCCTGGTCTATTTCAGATATACTTTCCCCAATCAGGGTTTCCATTACCAGAAGGCAACAGATTGACATGGACACAAAGACCTGACAAAACAGGAAGCATCTGCAATTTTTGAGTTTATTATCTTCATCAAATTGGTCCAAAGGGCTCTCATAGCTTTTCAATACGTCAGATCACAATAAAACATGAAATTATGGACATCAACACAAGGGTTAGAAGGGAGAAGACAGCAGATCACGAAGTGCCCGTGGCTCTCACGTTATTTAAGTGCAGGACACTGCTGCCAGACAATCTAGTTTAACCTCTGCAGCATCAAACAGGACAAACTGCTGCTCTATTTTTCTAACCATTTCTAGACTTCGCTGCCCAAACAGAGCCAAGAAAAATAAAACTGTAACATGTTTAACATTGAATTACTACTGCCTTTAAAAAGTGTACAGTTCAGTCATTGCCATTTCCCCAGGGAGGCGTGTTGCCTCGTCTCCGTGGCTGTTCGAGTAACTTGTTCTCTAAGAGCTGGACACCTCACTGCAGTGATGGAGGGCATGTTTACCTTCTTGGAGCCTAAACATGTCAGTTCTAGAAAAGAGGTAGCTAACAAACACCCCTTGGCACAAACTTGCCATCAGTGCCTCTGTGCTTTACTGACCTGCTGACAGACGTCAACAGCACCTACAGGCCAGCTCCTGTCCACCCCCACCCAGACTGATTCAGCACAACCTGCCCCCCCTAACCCCTCTGTCCCCATCTTCACAAAAACTGAGATCAATATTACAACCCAAGAAAATGTTTTGGTTTTTTTAAATCTTATTCCTTTGAAACTTGACATCAAAGCACAAAAACACCCTGACTTGTGTAGCATGAGAAATACAGTACGTTTATAAAAAAATACAAAAAAAATGCACTTTTTGTTTATTTAACCAACAAGAGAAGAAGAAGTGACATAACAGGAAGTCTATGTATTTTTTTTCGTCAAAACCTTTTCTTTCCCCCCCCCACGTAGGATATATTGTAGGATCTATTTACAGCATCATGTCAGAGAGTGGAGGGAGTACGAAAGCACAAACACATTTGGGGGGGGAAACTGTTGAAAGAGAAGCCCGGGTTGTAAACAGTTCTTCATGAAGGAGGTGTTTTATTTAAACCTACTGTCTGTCTCGAGTCAAAATTACGAGCAGTCAAAGAGTTTGCAGTCCCTCAGGAGAAAGGGAGGGGAGTTAGTCCAGAGCGATTATGTCATCGTCGTCATTGTTGTCGGCTGCCGATTGGTCTGTCCGTGGGCGCTTCGTGGAGGTCTCGCCAGTTTCGGCGTCTGAGTGCTTCCTCTTTGTGCCACCCGTCGCTGCTGCCGCTGCTGAGCTGGAAGCCGCCCCATCCTCCTCATCGGAGTCGACTATCATGATGTCGTCATCCTCTGACGGAGCTGAGGTCGAAGAGGAAGAAAAGATACAGGTTT